AGTAGTCATTAGGAAGTACGCAGACAACATAAATTGATTACGTCACTACTTTCTTCACCTCGTTGAAAGGACCAGTCGCTATAATTGCTCGCGGCTGTACATAAAGCTGTACAAAAAGTCCTTAACACGTTGACCAATCTGTATTTTGCTTAAGCAGTAATTGTATATAACTGTTTAGGTACTATAGCGAGATAACGTATGGTGGTAACAATCTTTGATCTCGGACTGTGAAGTTTTCCGACGTTACGCACAATTTCCAGGGTTAATATTAATTTACTCTCTGTTCTCTTTCTTTGGTAAAGCTACAAGGATGCATCATAAAGAGCACTCAAAAAATGACAAAAAGTCGTCTCTCATTTCATATTAATCTTCAGACATGGTGATGAAATCGGCATATCGACCCTGGATTCGATATTTCCAGGTTTGGCTCATTATGCTTCAAAAGATGAAAATAATCATAAAGAGTTTAAAATGGTCTAATTATCTCCAAATGAAAGCATTAAAGTAGTTTTCTGTTTTAAATACGCAATTATGAACAAAAAATGAATTTCTAATTAAAAGTACAGGGTATCTTTTAACCTTTACATCAGGGTCCCTGTCTTTAAGAGATGGTAATGTCCGCGTTTGTAGAAATCATCGTCTCCTTGTAGACTTTACATGAATGTTAAATTTTTTATTTATTTAATATTTATTATTATTATTTTTTTATCATCCTGTGGATTTCTATACTTTTGATCCAGTGTGAGACTGTACTGTGAATATGTAACAAATCCTACATTTTCATGATGATACAACTTTTGGTATTGCACTTCTCCATGTCAAACCTAATTACTAAGTCATATTACATTATACATATATAATATTCAATTGTAATCAGTGTAATCATATTGTAATAATTTGATCATGCTCCCCGAGGGCCCTTGATTGGTGAATAAACATATTATTATTATTTACAACCCCTCATTCTTAAAGAAAGTATCCAAATAATAACATGAATATTTTTTTCAGGTACAAATTTCTTTTCAATTTGATTTTCTATAAATATTTTTAGAGTTTATTAAGTAAAATAGTAACATTTTATCATTATAATATGAGTTTAAAAATTATTACAGAATCTAGTGCCCATTTGAGAGACATATAAATACTAGTCAATTCATGTAGGACATATAACTTTCCTGCATGGTTAAGGAGAATAATGATAGGAGTAAATTAAAACAGTCCTGTAATTTTTGATAAAATTAAACAGATTGTCAAGTCCGAGGCGTGTGTTCCGATTAGAATGTAATATAAACGATTAATAAAATGACACGATTCTATTGTGACGCGCGTTCGATTGTTTCGTAACGTCAGTGACGTGTTCGCGGTAAATAAGACACGTGCCTGCTGTCTGTCAGTATATTAAAATCGCCACCACGCGCATCCGCTTCTACTGGCTACAGTATTAGACGGATCTGTCAATATATTTACTAATGACCAAGATTCGATAATGAATTTCGTTGCTGCATTGTTGGCTATTGTGGGACATTTTTTACCGTGAGCTTGCAGGCATTGTTGTGTGTTTTCAGGGTACTTTCACGAAGGCTTATTGTACAAATAATGGCCATGGTATTGCGTGTTGAGACTAAATAATATCATGAATGAGCATTTCAGAAAGTTGTTGACATGAATTAAAAATCAATGATGGCATGAAATCAATTTCTGATATCTCTTTAATGCGTTAAACTTACTATCACACATTTAGTTTTATCTGATATTCAATGCTTAAAAATTAAGTACTAAATATTTTGTCTTCTGAGATACATTCATATAGCATTTACGTTTATTTAATTTTCATATAGATTCATTTTTTAATTTATTTTATTTATTTTCAATCTTCTACTCAAATTTTTAACAATATTTTTTTTCTCAAACATATTCATTTTCTTGACAATATTGCAAAGAAAATATTATGAATGGCTTCAAGATTTAAAGAAGGCTAAAATGTGACTAATTATACGGAAATTTTGGAATATTTATAAACGAAAAAAAAACTACATGTATATGGGGCGTTTCTAAAATTTGTTCTAATTTTAACTGGAAACACTTGACAGTTTTGCTTGTAAATGTAGACAGTTACTTGAACGGTCATCTTTTTAAAAAGATTTTTATTAGGTAATTTACATAAAATATATTTACAAAATATCCTCTGTAATATTTATTTTAACAAAGTTTAAGAAATGTATACTTGTAGTTAAAAAGAATTGCATGCTGAAAAGAAATGAAAAAGGGAAATAGAACATTTTGCAAAAATAAATATTTTTTTTAAATTCTATCTCTTCTTCTTCTTCTTTTTTTTTTTAAAAAATCTATCTCTTGCACTCAGACAAGGAATGGTTTTTATGACATTTTTACCATAATTTGTTAACAGGATTGAGGCTAGGTGTTTTATATTTTTTAACTTTTTTGAAATGCAAAGTTTTTTTATTTCCACAATAATGATAATGTACTACTCTATGAATCCCCTTTGTAATATTTTTTCATCAATTTTTCTTCTCAAATGAAGGCACAGGGTGTAGTTGAAAGTAACATCCTTTTTTTAATTATTATTATTATTTAATATTTTCATAATAATAATTGAGTACTATAAAAAATTATATTTTTCGTATGGTTCTTCATTGGTTAGGAGTTTTATCAAAATGTTCTGCAGGTAGATTTGCCTGTTCTTGATAATCCACATTAATTAACGATGATACTCAATTACATGTAAAATGCCTCAATCTCTATACATTAATATAATAAAACTTTGACTTGATTTAGACTTATTAAGTTTTAAGATCTTGTGATCTTTTCGTATTTGTAATTTCAGCAAAATATGTTCAAATAAAATCAATAGTATAGCAAGAAAAAGTATTTCATCAAATTGTAAAAGCCAGGGTAAACGCAACTAATGAATAGTCTATCATATATACTCAGGTTTGTTAAAACATGACGTTCATTTTATTCAGACAATTTGTTTTAGGTTCTAACAACATACATATTGCACTTCGAAGAAATTAATAAAATTAAAAATGTAGATCTCTTGAGAAAAAATACTAAAAAATTAATTATCGGTGGGATCAAATGATTTTCATGCTCGATTGTATGTAATAACAAATATTAAGAGAGCGGATTAACGGTACGATAATCTTACGTTAATCCCGGTGCTTTTTTTAAAGGAGTAAAACTGTTATATTAACGGCCCCAATCAAACACTTACAAATTTCTTATGTATATACAACACCGCGCTAAGCACACACCGTGCTCCTGTTTTCCCGACATTTTCCCTGAGAAGCGGTTTTGATCTTGAGAAAATATTTACTTCATGTAACTTCTGCGGCGCAGAGTGATATTATTACAGCCGTGGATAATCTCTGAATTTGTAAATTGTAGCAGATTTCATCTGGATATATATGAAGATAACAAACCTTCATAAACTTAGACAGATTAAACAATTGATCCCATTTTTCTTGTACATGAAATTCATATAACGTGCTTTGTACAAACCCTTCTAGTATTACTGTGCATTAATTGAATGTTTTATCGACTTTCTCTACTGCTGGAAAGAGATGAATATCTACATCAAATCTGCTCAATAAATTTTTATACTTTTTAGATCTATTACTATATATATTTTATAAGATTTCCAAACGTGCAGTGTTTTTAAAACTACATGTATATTATATAGCAAAAATAATCACTATTTTAAGTAAATAAATAAAGCTACAATTATTCAAAGAGGTTTACATGCATTAAGAAAAAAGAAATTCATTATTGGTTTTACACGTTTCCCTAGCATTGGTTTAATGTATTGAAACATTAAGAAAATATTAAAATCATGCCTTATATAAAACGTTCTTGGTATTGGTGTTATAAGACCATCAGCAAGTAAAAATTCAGTGTAATAGCAGTATGGTAAAAATTAGGTTTTTATCTTAAAGATTTGAGCTTTTAGTATATATTAATTGAGTTTTTCATTTTTTCCAAAAGAAAACGAATTATAACTTTATTACTGTTTTTATTGAAAATTTTCGCAATAAAAATTATTTAATAAATGAACAGAGAAAAATGAACCAGAATTTCTTTATAATTATTCTGAATTTTACTTGTTAAATATTAGTAAAAACTGGAAATATTTGAGTAATTAATACATTTTGACATGTATTTGACAAGCTGCACTCGGAGCTTAAATTCATGTTACAAAATTATGTGTAGCACAAAAAACCACAGCGACGAGAATTTGCTGTCAGTTTGTGTAGTATGATTTTAATATCTGTTTGTTGTATTTCAACCTTTCACTCATGTCTACTCGGCATTGCTCAAAGCAGATGGCGCTACGCGAGATAAACAAGCCCCGCCCCCTTTTCTGAATAAATAAAGAGATCACGTGTATCTTCCGGATTATATGTCACTGTATTGACCAATCAAATTAAAGCTAGTAGTGGTAGGAATTTATAGACGTGTTTTCTATATTCACTTATACATGTGCTCGTTGACCGATGAGTTCAGGATAATCCTTTAGGAGATTTTCAGTTCTTTTTTAATTGTGTGAAATTATTTAAACATTCAAAATTGCACCTTCTAAAGTTGATATAATGACAGCGGATACCCAACCCGTACAGCCGCAGACTAAAAGTAAGTCACCAAAAACTCAGATCTGTCAACTCATAGGAATGATTTACTGTATTTGTTTTGTATTTACATTTGTGTTTGTGATGTAAACAATGTATTTTTAATTAAGAATTTATTAATGTATATTGTATCCCATGTTTCGCATAATTAATACATCTTAAATGTAGCAGAAAATAAAATAAAATTATAAACTATGCATGAAAAATGTACAGAACATTTATTAAACTTTATATTCATGCATTTTGCATTTATTGATTTTGCTTTTTACATTGACACTGGATATTGACTTATAATTTTATGAATAAATGAAATATTTCTTGAGAATCTTGATGTAACTGTGATTTATTTTCCAGAGAAGCGGCGCCTGTCTATGTGTGTTGGGTGTGGGTCCCAGATCCATGACCAGTTTATTCTCCGAGTGGCTCCGGACCTGGAGTGGCACGCTTCGTGTTTAAAATGTGCCGAATGCAACCAATATCTGGACGAGAATAGCACTTGTTTTGTGAGAGAAGGAAAAACATACTGTCGAAAAGATTATGTGAGGTGAGAGAAATTCAAATCTACCCATCCCCTCCCCCTCCCTGTCTGTACGACAGATACGCTTAACCTTTTTTGGAGGAGTTCGAAAATTAGAAGAGCGTATAAATATTAATCCCTTCCACTTGAAATCATTTTTTAAAAAATAAAACTGTAATCAGGTGAGCCGCCCAAGAGTAAACAGAGGGTCCCGTGTGGTTCTAACTCATGTTTTTTGATTTCAATGACACGTTAAATATTCATGTATTGAAAAAAATATCAAATTAATTGTACAATGTGTTGTAATGTTGCCCGTTCAGGTGTGGTTATTGATTTGGAATGATTTTGAATAAATATTCCATTTATCAACAGGCATGGGAAAAGTTTTAAATTTTAATAAAGTATTAAATGTCACCGGTATATAACTTTAAATAAAAGCCAAATATTCAAAACAAACAAAAACAAAACTACAACTGAGACTTCTTTAAAATTGAAGTTTAGTTCTGTTGAGAGCTGACAGGGTTCTGGTAATTTAGCGGGGAGGTCTTAATAAAGAGAACAGGACGACACGATCTGGCAGGGGTCTTGTACGAGATATCCAACCCGTGTAGCCGGCAAGAAAATCCATGTTATATTAATAAGATTTCATTTTAACAGGAACGAAGACTGCTTAACAGTTGTCCTGTCATTTAAGATATTCCGAAAATTCCCTCCCTCATTAAGAGAATTTACTTTAATGCACCACAACTTGTGTTCTCCATCAATAGTAATTACCACTGAACGAAAATCACTCTTGTTATTTCAACAGACTTATCTCTTTATTTACTCGTCAAAATTTATACATATCATTAATGTAGAAAATTAAAGAGGATGTTTTAATTTTCCCATTTAAAACTATTCTTTAAAAAAATCAATAAGATGTGAAAATTATAGGATATCAGACCCACCTTGAGCGATGATGAATATATACCTATATTTATATTTCGTTTTTGGTTAATTATAGTTTAAGCCATGTGTTGTTAGAATGCTCAGTGAAAACTCTGGGGGAGGGGAGATAATCGTGGAGATATCGGTCCTTCCCGCGGCCATTGTGTGCGATATAGCTGAGTTTGTATTAATATTGTACCAAAAATAATCTACTTCAATTATATTTTGACATATTTTTGTTATCGGACATCTCGCACAAAAACTAGATTTTGTTAACTTTTTGTTTCCTTTATTTCGCGTTATGATTTGTTATCGTGACAGATATATTCTTTATCACGCACCCACTGGAAGGTGGCAGTTTGAAATTTTTGGAAAGGAAATTAAATCGTCCGGATTGCTGTGTAGTAACAACAGTCACAGATAAAACAATTGTATGAAATGCAGGTCTAACCATTTTCTCATCGGTTCCCACTGGGGACGGAAAGCGCACGTGCATTCTCCCGGCGACAAGAAATGAATAAAATAGATTATATAAAATTTTATCTCTTTTGTCTAATGAATCCTCAGTAAATGTTCTACGTCTTTTTACAACTTTTATTCATATTTAATTAATTGTTCTCATGAAAAATTATTTTAATTTACAGGAACTTTGGAGCTAAATGTACGAAATGTAACTTATCATTCGGAAAAAGCGATTTTGTGATGAGAGCACGGGAAAATGTGTACCACATAGACTGTTTCCGTTGTGTTGCATGCAGTAGACAATTAATTCCAGGCGATGAATTCGCTTTAAAAGACGATGAACTATTTTGTAAAGCGGACCATGATGTTGTAGAAAGGTCCTCATCCTGTAAAGAAAACGGAAATGCAAGTAGTGCCGAAGAAGACAGTCCTAAATCGTCAAAAATCCGGAAACTTAGCAACAGTAATAATGACGACAACAACAACAATAGTGAAATTCAAAAAGGAGGATTACATTTAGCGGGTACGTTCCTCTCTCAGCTTTTGTCAGTTCCTCCTTAAACTTCTGTCATTATCACCAGATCGATTTCATGTACTCAAAATAGTTACAATCCATTATCATCTAAAATAGTGAACCTGGTCAAGATCTATTTTATTTCAAATTGTCATTTAACAAGAGATCTGATCATTCAAGACGTAATTATACAAGTGTCCCTTATAGAAGCAATTTCTTCAGAGATTGCATTGATTTTGTGTTGCTTAAACTGAAGTGGAGATTTAAATGAGGATAAAAAAAAAGTATTTTTTGATACATGTCATCAGTTGTAATATTATTAAAGCATCATACAGATAAAATAACGTCCTGTATTTGGAGACTATCATTCTAACCGCCACATAAAAACCACATTAAAACCTCTTCTGTGGTCAGCTGTCCGTCGCCGTATGTCCAGCGCTGACCACCGTGAGTCCGGAATCCTGGGCCGTCTCCAGACTGACTCTTATCGCCGGCTAATTGTTATTATTCGGTCCTTATCTCCATTATTTCCTCGTAAGAAAGTGACAGGGCAGTTTGTTTTGGTCAGTTGTTTATAAAAATCAGGATTATATTGCTGGGATATCGTCTTGATATTATCCGTGGGATCTAAGGTCCCTGGCTCTGTTCAGAAGCAGAAGGAATTTCTGATTAAAATAATTTCATGTCACATTCCAACCCCGCGATCTCATGAACACCGGCTAAGTTAGCCCGTTTATTAAAATAATTAAACTCTATTAATCATTTATATTTGATTTAAATTAAAAATCAACATTGACAAAGTGATAATTAAATCCGTTATACACTGAAGATTATAATTTCAAATCGAATTTTTGACCGTGGATTAAAATAGACCCTGGAAATAGTTTCCAACAGAAAAAAAAAATGATAGGAAAAAAAAACTACGAAAGAAATATCATAGAAAAATATTTAAAATCAAAAAATAAGTTTTATTTAATTTTCAGAAATTTTCTGGGTAAAAGTCCTATACACCTTCTCTCATATGCACTAAATTTCGTTTTATTAATAGGCATATAACTGAAAAAAGAGGGGGAAAGTGGGTATTTATTTAAATGATCCATCGGTTGAATAATGATGTGTAATGTCTTTTACACGACTCATTAGAGTATAACAGTGAAGAGTAAACACTTGGTCCGCCATCAGACCGGGGTTACGGGGAGCTGAGGGGAATTAGAGTAATTAATTTCAACTCAATCACACAATGTTTAATTGTTATTATTATTATTATTATGTTTATTCAGGCAAAGAGTCAAATTCATTACAAATCATAACACAAATTACATTCAAAAATTAATTAGGGATCGCTTAAAAGTTCTAGCACATACATGTAGCTATCACATTAAAACAATATCACTCCAGGTATTATCACAGTTATCATTATCACAGGATTAAACAGATCTCAGAACCAGATCTTATCACATACAACACAAATAAACATATTTTTAATCAATCTTTGCCTAGGATAACCCATGAAAGCAATATATAAAACATGCTTATTTCCAATGGGGTCCTAAGATGGTACAAGTTGATTATAATTTAATTGACTAAGACAGCATAGACAAAAAATAAAAAAATAAAATTAAGGATTAAATAATTTTCCTAGCCTGAATAGAATAATTTGACATATATATACATAATCACAGTTTCAGGTTAATACAAATTATTTTTAAAAAGTTTCATTCCCTTGTAAAAATCTTATATATAAATACTTTCTTCCATCCTTCGAGCTTCTTGTGTAAGATGCAACTTGACAGCAGATTTAAAACTAGCTCTATTGGCTATAGTTTTTACTTCCAATGGAAGAGAATTCCAGTTTAAAATGGCTTGATAATAAAAATTTGAATCATTGTATGCTCCAACCCTGGGTACATGATAATTAAAATTGGATGCTCCCCTAGTAGCATTATTATTCCTATTAAAATTCTCATTTAGATAATTTGGTGCTAGGCTATGATAGATGTTAAAAACATGATTTAGTCTTAACTGTTTTACACGATCAGATACACGTAGTGTATTTATTGAATCTAAAATATCGCAATTGATCCTGGTTCTAGGACTCAGATTTAAAATAAATCTTACTGTTTTGTTTTGAAGAACTTGTAACTTATTTTTCAAAGATTTGGACAGACTTTCGTACCATGCTGATGAACAGTAATCAAAATAGCACTGAATTAGTGCAGATGCTAATGTTAATCTGGATCTTTTATTTAACCATTTTCCATTTCTGTATAAGAACTTTAGTCTAGAATTGACCTTGGCCACAATCTCATCTACTATTAGGTTACATTTTAGAAATTTATCAATTGTGATACCTAGATACTTAACAGACTCACTGGATTTGATAATATGATCGTGACATTTAACCTCAAATTGACCTTCATTTTTTAATTTGCGAATAGGGCCAAAAAGGATAGACTCTGTTTTTCCAAGATGGAGAGATAACTTATTATCTATTAGCCACTCGGAACACTTCTCTAGTACCTTCCCAAGTTTGTTAGAGATAACATTAGGGTCTCTATGTGAGTATAAAATAGCGCTATCATCAGCATAAAGAATGAGTTTACAATCTGTATCTATACTGATGGACATATCATTAACATAGCATAAAAACAATAAAGGGCCTAAAATGCTCCCTTGGGGAACCCCACAAGTAATTTTCTTTGACTTAGATACAACACCTCCGCAACCCACCACCTGAGACCTGCCAGTTAGATATGACTTAAACCATTGGTTTTCAATTCCCATAATGTCTAATTTGTTACATAATATTTCATGGTCCACTGTATCAAACGCTTTTTGTAGGTCTAACATGATCATTCCTGTAAATAATCCCTTAGAGTTATTGTCCCTAATATGGTCCAACAAATGTATAAGGCATGTAATCTCTATGATGTGTAAGCATGGCGAGCGTTCGTGCATCTGTATAGCACAAATATTACAAAGATAACAAGTGTATAATTAGTCAAAACTGCATCCTTCTTAGATCTATATTGTAATAATTACCGTTTATTCTCCGTTCACTTTGGTCTCAATCAAATTCGTACCAACATTAGATTTGTTTTAGCATAGATTTTTTACGATTTCTCTCTCTCCGTCCTTTTTTTTTCTCTCTCTCTCTCCACGCATCAAAACCCCTCCTGGCTGAGTAATGAAATATGACTGTGAATGCTTCCAACACGCGGCTCACGTAACTACAGAAGACAAGCGACCCGACATGTTCGCTCACAAATTTTTACTTGTAAACATTCAGCTTTGACAATAGAAATATGTACACTGGACAAATAAATGTCCACACACCGGCAAAAACCAAAAAGCCGAGAGTATCCCCAAACATGGGTCTGAAACTAATTAGGATCAAAGCAAATGGTCGCAGAACTAATACAAATGTTTTATGTAATGCTGTATTAAATTATGCATATAATGTTGGTAAGAACGTCTATTTTCATTGAATCTAACAATTTCTTGTCATGTTAAGTATTTTTTATGCATACCGACTATACAGTTTTCCAAGCAGTGACTTCATATAATAGATCTGCTCCTGCATGGAAGTTTTCTTTAGATGTTTTCAATTAAAATAATATTCACTTCGGGGAAGATATTTGTCACTTTTGTAAAAACTAAGAATTTATTTAACTGTTGAAATTGCATAAAAATGTCAGTTTGAGGTTTTGCCTCGGAAGCCAGGATTTCATTAATAAGAGAATTGTGTGTGGTATAGCTGAATTCCTGGCACTTGAAAGTCGAGACGAACTGGTTTTCATCACAAGTCTTGTTGCTAGTCATATTTTATAAAAGTGTAGAAAAAATTTCCGTCTATACGAATTTGAATGAGTATACACTTTCAAAAATCTTTTGTTATCGAACGGAATCTATTATAGGCAAATCAGAGGGATCGATAGCAACATATTTTAAAGTTGAGTAAGGGACTGATTCAAAAATAAATTATTTACCATTATTTCCTAAATAATATAAACCTACGCTCTTTCTTCTTTGGGGGAAATATTCGCCTCCCTTTTGTAGCTCCTGATGACACGCCCCCTTCCCCGGTGGTGCTATTCACCCCAATAGTTACAAGAAAAAGAAGGGGTGCGTCTACTCAACGGAGAATCCCGCCTTCGTCTTTTGTTAATTTATATCATTTCTTTTCTTTTCACACTTTGTACTCCCATGTTGACAGTAATATTTTTATAACTTTCTAAACTTTTATTTGGGTGGTAATGCCTGGAGTAGATTTTGTGAACGATATTTTCTCCTTCTAACTTATCACTTCGCTTTCTTTATAGATGAATAAATAAAAAAAACTATCATTCCAGGAGCTTCAACCTATCTTTGTTCTTAAGAAAAGCTGCTTGATATTTATTTTTTTTTTCCAAATTTGTACACGCATTTAAAAGATATTATTCCTGTACAAAAAAAATGAAAAAAAAAAAATAAAATTCTGAAAAATATCCATTATTTAAAAAGAAAGAAGAAAAAACTATTTAACTTTCATGAGATGCTGGTACATATGTATGCAAATTTATATGATTATTTGATTGCTGATGCATTCTACTTTTTCACATAAATTTTATACAATATATAGAGTAAAACTGTATTGTTCCAATCACCTGTTTGGTTCTGTAATCAGTGTTGTTGTTGTTTTTTATTTTAAAAAAATTACAGTCTTCACGTTTTTTTTTTGTTTTTGTTTTTTTGTTTTTTTTGTATTTTTGATTGAAAAAGTTAAATATTTTAATATATTTAAAACCACAGCATAATAATATTCTATTCATTTTTTTTTTTCAGGTACATTTATTCGATTGATATTTCAAGTATTCTTATAATCAAGTATTCAATAATCGAATGAACATGCACATTTAATATTGACTGAAGCAGTCAAGGTTATTCATTAAAGCCTTTTAAAGTTATGATTAATTGACTTTCTGGGTTTATTTTCTTTCTTTATTTTCTGTGAGGAATATCTGGTTAATATTTTCTCTCTCACATAAATCATTCTATATACTAATTAATTAGGCGCTCACTCGATTCTGGCCATGCAAGATAACCCACATTGTTAAATTCACATTTGACTCCAAACGGGATATTTATTACAAAAGTCACATAATGGTGCCGTGGCTATAAGGCGGTGACAGAAAGATGACAAGAAAATGGTCGTCTTTTACGAGTACCCTGATCACCTGTAAACGCGTACCATCGCTCCGCAGTCAATTTCCTTCAATTTTTAATACACATGAAACTTACACTTGGAATCGATCATCAATAATTCATGCAGCTCTTTTGATAGCAAGGCTCTGGTTCCAGATATTGGTCCTGAGAGAAATCTACACTAAAAGCCTACAGGGGGACGAGACTAGGGGGACTGGGAAATGTGACGATAATTCCAAAACCATGATAGGGGAAACCTTTCCCGAGGAATGGGGTATACAGGCAGATGGAGATAAAATGGGGGTTTCTCGGTGCTAAGTTTTCTCTCAGTCTAAAGCACAAATTAGAACCGAATTGGCCGTACCTAGAGAAGCAAAAATGTTCTGTTCTAGATGAGATCGCGCGAGCAGTAGGTTAATTCAATACCGCTGCTCTCTCTTCATACACGGAACACAAAGCGGAAAAATTAATTCTGAAAAAAGTCACGAGTCGTTGCTAGATTTTCATATCGATTTTTAGAAATTAAAGTTTTATAAAATGCATTTTTACCACTTTTGTCGATATACATGTACACGTAGATTTGTATTGAAAACATTCTATCTTAGTAAAGGATCAGACAAATAAAACTATTGGATTATCAACAACAAGCAGCAACAATCAGTATTTTATGTTTTGTTGCAATAATAATTATGGCAAAGAATCAAAATATGAAAAAAAAAATTAATAAATATTTTTGATTGAAAACAATTTAAGACAAAATACATATTATCTTTTATTCGTTTATAGGTCGAGTCGAACAGGTGTCTTCAAAGTCCAACGGCATGCGAGGGCATCTTCACAAATCTGAGCAGAAACCAACGCGAGTGCGGACAGTTCTGAACGAGAAGCAACTTCACACTCTCCGAACGTGTTACAATGCAAACCCTCGACCGGACGCCCTCATGAAAGAACAGTTAGTGGAAATGACAGGGCTAAGCCCGAGGGTTATCCGAGTGTGGTTTCAGAACAAACGATGCAAGGATAAAAAGCGAAGCATCATGATGAAACAGATTCAGCAGCAACAGCAAGAAAAGGTCAGTAGAAATAAAACTTCATCAATAAATAATCTTCACAATAAACAACCTTTTCCAACCGAAAAACCCTTATCAACAAATAATCTTCACCAAAAAAATCCCCTCACCAACAAATAATCTTCACCAAAATACCCCTTACCAACAAATAATCTTCACCCCCCAAAAAACCCTTTACCAACAAAAAAAACCCTTACCAACAAATAACTCGCAGCAACAATTAATGTTCACCAGAAAAAAAAACTTGTTTACATATTCAAAAGTTCAATAGAAGTTACTGAAAATCTAAAATTGATGCACATGTATCTATATTTATTTTTTCAATTTAACGACTAAATTCAGAGACATGATTATAATAATTGCGCAAAGTTCGGACGACATTTAGGGCCATCCAGCCGCGTTATAAATACGCCATCAGAACACATGGAAGATTTTTTTTTTCAGCTGAAAAAAAGGATGGAAAAAAACACTTTCATTTCACGATCTTTAGAATCTCACTGGATCAGTTAAAATTGATAACTGCAAAGGATTATGATATAAAACAAAATAATCCGAATTTTTCAAGTGTGTTTTTTAAAATGATAATTTTGAGCATAACATTTTTGTAAAATTTCATGATATCTCATACTAATATCCTCTAAATGAATACATCTCTGCATTCTTATTGAAACATTTAACGATTCCATGTTTTGTTTCATTGACTGAAGTGTATAGTAAAAAATATAGGGTTAGTTTGTTTGTTTGTTGGTTTGTTTAAAGAAATCGACTTTGTATCCCTTTTTGATTAAAATAAATCAGTAAATATACTAAGAATTTCAAATTCGTAATCATTTTTTTTACACAATAAAATTAAATGTATGGATTGTTGAAATGTTTTGATCAGTTAAATTGATTTCTGTTATTGCTCAACTTCTTACCTTTTTCCACGGAGATTTATCAGAACAACAAACAAACAGATCCCCCTCCCTTTTATGTCTGTGTGTTGGCTGGGGTCTATTAATAAGAGTAAATTGACTAAACTCAGTATCTATCATGAAATAAAGAAGGGCGAATAATTTGTTGGTCATACGCATGGATCGTTAAAAAGTTCACAAGACTGGCATATTAATTGTTTTATAAAGTCATAGAGAAAATTTTAATAACTTCGTACACATTGGTTTATCATTTAAATGCAAAACTTAGAAAAGAAAGACACCAGTCTACAAATATATAATGTTTATAAATTTCAAATAAAATGATTTAATAAAACCTTAACAAACTCATCTAATTAAAACACGCGAATGATCTCTTAAGAACACAATAAATAAATCAATAAATAAATAAATAAATAAATAAATAAATAAATGAAATAGTATCATTGAATTCTAGGTAATAATGAAGAGTTGACAAGTGTTACCCAGACATATGTTGGCTGATCTGACCTGCCACTCCCGTGTCAAATGTAAAATGAAATATGAAAAAGGAGAAAAAAAGAACGATTGCAGAACCGCCATGCCAATAATTAGGTTTTATATTTTTTGTTCAAAGCTCTGTCGCATCTCTTAAATAATTCATTACGCCCTGTCAGAGAATTTTTTAACAGGTGCGACATCATCAAAAGTTTGGTATTAATTAACCATTGATAACCATGAAGTGAGTGTTCCATCTTGTAAATGTTCTGTTTATTAGAAAATTATTCCCGTGAAATGTGAAGACACACAAGGGATACGCTTTCACTATGTCATCAAAATTGTAATATAAATGAAATAGTTGCTAAAATGATAAATTTATAATGAAGGAATGAGATCGTAAAATTCTGTTTTATGGGTCCGATGTACAATCATTCGAAGGGCCGCCAGAAGCTTTGACATTGCGACGGCTATTTGACGTTGACATGCCTAGAAAACCACGGTAGTGCTTACAGCGGAGTATAAAAACCCCAAACGCCAGGAATCGAGCGGAGTACTGCGGAACCCCACATCCAAATTTATTACTCCACTAATTAAAAAATTAGTGACCTATGGTCTACACTAAATGACAGGGTTTCTCTGCGGACTATACGAAAACAGGGCTAAATTTCTGTGTATTATGTTAAATGACCACGATATATTTGTTCAAGAAATTATGAAATAATCTTATCACATAGGACAATCACAAGATAAATAATTACGGATCTGAAGTGTTTTCGTGTTTTGATAAATCTGTGATTTAAGGCTTCGGCTCCCAGTGGGGTGTTAATCCGCCGTTACTTGTCAGATCGCTAACTAGTGTGTTACTTTCTCTTAAATTGGAGGAATCAGGAATCACAGATAATAGCTTCACAGATCCAGTTGATAGCGATTTCAGGAAAAACAAAGAATAATGAATAAAATTATATGTTATATACATACACAAACATATTTTTCGAAGTTTAAAATGTAAATAAGCTTATGCACCTTTTAACCTACTAAATAATAGTCTCTGAAAGGATTTGCGAAAATTTTTGGCGAACTTGTACCACTTTCTTAAATACCTCATAATAAAAATTGGATTCAAAATCAGGGAGATTAACCCCAATAATCGACGCAGAAATGCAAAATTGTAGGTGTACATGATAATTTACTTATTTGAATCCAGCCTCTGATTATCCTTATTCCTCCTATTTCAGAAACATGTACGGTAAATCACACACATTTACCGTGATTCTCACATGCAATTAGACGCAGCAACACAGCAGTGTCCAACATGTCTATTTAGTCAAATTATTTCAACTTTAATTTCCTGACCAACAACTTTTGATGAGGTTGTCGCCAATTTTTAGCTTGTTTCTCCCCAATTGTTTCCTCCCATCTCCGCGGGAACATCTCCGCTTCTCTTTCCTCCGATATAATTCTAGCTTAGAATCTTGAGCCCGACATCAAATTATCTTATAATTTGTTGTAATTGTTGCTTATCGCACAGTTTGAATCGTGTTGGCCTCTGCTACGGATGCTTCCGTAATTATAGAGAATAAATTAACGGGAATTAATAGGACGTTTCTCTATATCTGACAAGTGCTGCATTATTCGCACTGTTTGAAGCTTCATTTATGAATGACAGAGAGCTAAAGACTCTGAATAATTATATCTGTATACAACTGCTGTCTTTCTTATCATTAATATTTTTAAATACTGGACAAGACATTGTACAATTCTTGTGCATGCTTGATTATATCTGCATTTGCTTTAAAAAGGGTCTTGGAACAAATGCACATCATTTGCAAACCTGTTTCCAAACAAAATTTATGCAATGATGAGTTTTAGAATCAGAATGAAATAACAAAATTAAAAGTCAATCAGCGAGGTGCACTAAATAACACCATTACAATAACAATCGAAAAATATCTAAATTTTTGTGGTTGAAGTATCGCTACTGTTTCTTGTAAATACGACTATGTGTAATTTAACGGCATGAATATTGATAACTTTTTAAAACTTTCCACACAGACGTTCGGTGTGTGTTGATGACGTTTATGCATGCACAGGAATGTTATGTTTTATTTTATATAATCCAAATGTTTTCTTCATTGTTTTCATCTTGTCAAAGATGGCAAAAACCAAACCGCGAGTTTCAAGTGGAACATTTCAACTGCTCCTTGCAATCAATCTTTAAATTGAAATTTCATGTTGGAAAAAATGAAAAGTTCTCATCAAATACAAAAAAGAAGGGTAAAAATGAATTGCTTTGTTTCATTCATCTTGAATTTCTGCACACGACACCTTTTAGGGTCACATTTGTAGGATTAACGATCCCGAGTTTTATTTTCTCTGATGTTTGTTTTATTAATTGACACTAGGCCGTGTAATTATCATGTCATATCATTACAACATCTGAATACAATGTTTGATTTGGGTGCACAGGGATTAATTTTAATTAATTTCCTTGTTTGAAGAGCGATCATGAATTTCAGAAGAAGAATTATGGTATAGACGAAACAGAACAGTTCTGGCCTGCGAGTCACTTGATTATCAATTTATAATTAAACTGGACGGCCAATTTCTGTACGACAATAGAAGCTGTAGCAAAATGAACCCCCAAACTCCCCTCCTCGCTTTATTATCATTATCATAACGCGTGTTATGGAGGATTAATAACGGCTCTGGTGTCCAGTTGAATTGAAGCGATCACAAATTTGTGGCGGCTAATTCCGCGCCAATTTCGCCAGCTACATAAGCATGTTCCCTTTTAATTTCCTTTCATTCAGGCGGCTTTTCTGCCTCCTTCGACCCCCTTATTCCGCTCCGTGCGGAAATTAAGGAATTCCTCAATTAGATTGTGTCTTTTATTCTGCATAATTATTTGAAAATTGTATCATGAGATTTTGCTTCATAATTTTGGCACCTTTGTGTGGAGTGAAAAAAGCGACCTCGAAATTTTTAAAAACGATTCGATTAGATGTAGTCATGATTTTCATTTGATCAATTCTCTTTAAAATAAAATAGAACTGATCGTGTTTGTTTTATTTGTACAACAATATTGATATCATGTCCAGTTTTGCATGTCTCGAGTTATACTAGTTGATTTCTTTAATACAATTTCCGAGTGAGACTTAAAGTACGATTAATTCTGAAGATTAACGGTGAATTCCACTGGTCGCTGTCTCTGTATTAGCTACTATAGCAGGAACTAAACAGACCCCCGGCACAAAAACTTATGTCAACAAGGAATATTTGTTTTCTTCTTAGTTTTGTTTAGGAACAAAGAATCAAATCTCTGTTTACACTACAGATTTTTTTTACCATTCAAGCGTTAGTTTTGCAATAGCTTACAATATACTGTAAATGTGTAATAAAGAAATCTGACAATATACCCTCAGTAAAATAATGCATGCTCAACCAAAAAAGACAGAATAAAAGCACAAAACATTAGTAATATCTATGAATATTTGAAGTTCATCGCGCCATTCGGATATTTAGGCGACATTACGGTTCTGTTGTCTGTCTACCGAGCCCGATCTTTATTAGTTTATGATGTATGTAAACATCATCACCACGTGTACTCAGACACGAGTGTGTTCCCCTCAAAGCGTTCGGTATATATCAACAATTGCATTATATTGCGTAAAAGTGTATATATCGATGGATGGCATCTGGCTCCTGAATTTAAATAAAGGAAGCTGGGGTTGTGATACAAGGAGATAGGGCAAGGGCAATGTGGGACGAGTTTATATTTCTATGGTGTTCTTCCTGGAGTCTTATCTCACAAATCAGTGCTTCTTTGCGATTTATTGCTTCTGAATTCACACTATTGTGGTCCGGCAATTTTGATAATAATATAAAATGATTCTCAGTGAAAAAAATATTTTATCTAAAAACAAAACGCAGATGCACATTTTAAAATTATTTTTATTGTTTTAATATATAAAAAAGAAATTTTATGGATTTTATGGATATTTCTATTTAAAATACCATTGTGAACAAAACTTGAATATCAATAATAACATTTTATCAATGTGCTTAATTTATCGAGACTTTCAAAGTTTATGAAGAATAGAAATTAAGTTCAACCCAATTGATTTCCTTTCTGCATAAAAAAATCTTCTTAATTCTATCGTTGAAACTCGATTCAATGTACTGTCAGGGGACTAATTGTTCGGTAGAATCGGATTATTATTCGCTTTTGTTTAGTATCAACCCTAAAATTATCATTTCTTGCCGTCTTTCTGTAGAGATTCAGCGGCTCGGCCTGCGCTTTTTTCCTCTCTCCAACATTACCAAGCAAACAGTTATTAGCTCTTGTGTTGGACACATCTTGAATAATGTTTTGACTGTTATATGTTATTCTCATTACATTATATATTTTTCCGTATTCCAAATTTGCATTTACGTTATAAAATACATGCATATTTTGTATTCCATAAATTTTGCTCTACTGTGTAATGATGACACGGAAACACAATATCTATCTTTATTTTTGTAGAATGGAGGCAGATTGCACGGTCCTTTACAAGGAGTTCCGATGGTAGCCTCGAGTCCAGTTCGTCACGAGAGTCCTATGCAGGCGAATCCAGTGGAGGTCCAAAGCTATCAACCGCCATGGAAAGCGCTGAGTGAATTCGCCATGCAGAGCGAGCTAGAGCACCCACCATTTCAACAACTGGTGAGCAGTTTTGTCTGTGACGTCAATCATGACGATGATGACGATGATCATGTCGTCTGCTATGATCAGTGCTGATTGGTCCGAAAGATAATCACATGATTTGACCCACCAACTCACGGTAAATCGCACTTGAAGTTTCACTTCACGTGAAGTTGCAGTGTTTTAATTTCATGCATATTTTGCTCGAAATTTTTATTTTGCCTATATTATTTAGACTGGCATTACAATTTTTGTGGAAGAAATTGCATGAAAATTTCAAATTTATATTTTTTTTTCCTGTTCGCAATGACGTAATATTTAAAAAGAAAAAACTTTCTTTCTCTTTTAAAATTTTTAGTTTGCTTCTGTTGGTGTCTATTTTTGCATGACAGATCTGCAACTGAAGAAGTGAATGCAGGCACCGAAGGTTCCTGCAAGCTTTCAGTGTTTCAATTCTTTGTGCGATTTTACCTTTGAGTTGATTATTTTGTTTTTTTATGAAATGTTTTAGAAGGAAAAAAATAATTGAGTTTACCCAAATCAAAAACTTGATGTGCATTTTTATAGTAAATGTTGCCAAAATGAAACTTTGTTACTTCTTTCACAATTTGATAAGCATGACATAGTACTGACTTTGAAAATTGGTTGTTGCAGATGAATTCCTTTGACACGATAGATTCAGACGACACCTCGTCCTATCACAATGACGGTTATACTGATGGATATGGTCACGGTTGGATGCACGGCGATCTTGACGGAAATTGCTCCGATTCAGACTTTCCCGGAACTCCTTCGGAAATGTCCAGTCCTCTAAGCCAATAACATTACGGAATTAAATAAAAATAATCATGGAAAAGTTGTGACAGTTCCTAAGAATTCCAAACCATGAATATTCACCCAGGAGCAAACGAGGAGGCTCGAGTCTCATTCAGGGAATGACTGACTTTATGTTTGTCGGGACACGTGGGTTATCACGTGACGCCCGCCATTATCTATGCTCAGCGACTTTTTGTAATTCTAGATGTTGTGATGACTTGTGTGCCGCTTTCTTACTGATTGAACTATGTGTAAATAAAACAAACCCACAGACAAACAAACCTGATGCCCTTAATTTTACTGTAACAGTAAAACAAGGCATATACTACAACAATAGATTACAAGCTTGTACCACATTATGTAACACTAACGTGACGTTGTCTATGCTACGTCACTTCCGGATTTTATCAATTCACATACTCCCGCTGTAGGGGCAGCTTTAGATACACTACGCCGTTAGCTGTACAAGTATCTGTATTTCAGATTTCTATTTATTATTATTTATTTATTAAACAATGCATGTAACATAACTGTCTTGTTTATTTGTAAAGACATTTATACTGAGGGCAGTATTATAACCCAATAAACCTCCATCAATCTTGAAGTATAGCAGGCTCATGAAAGTGAAAATTCGCCGATTTCTCAAAAATGACAATGGGTTTTTTGCAACATCCTTAAAAAAAACCAATGCCTTACTAACAAGGTTTGTTTTATGGATTGATATGGAACATATGTAGAAGATACACAGCGGGGCCCACGGCTTAGATTGATGATGACATTTCTTATAATTTCTGAATGCCAGACGTTAGAAAGAATGGTTGTAGCAAGAACTTTTTGAAAAATGGAAGACCAAACACGTTGCTGTCGTACGTCACAAACCAAGGAGTGATTAGTTTAGGTAGCATCTCTGACATATTCTCTCTACCATCGGCAGAATAATTGAAATCAGTTTGATTCTCTGGCACACAATTATCAATGAAATTAACGAACCTTTAAAATATGCGAACTTTAATGGAACAACATTCAAGAAAGAAACCATGGTAGTTTTTGAACAGAAAATTCAAATTTTCTAACCATCTTCAAGCAGCACGTTTTTTTTTTGTAGAATATAGAGCAGTTTATCAGCCACGAACAGCGAGCCAGCATACAGGGATAATTTAAAAGATTTAGCTTCCTGTTTGGCTCTAAATGTTATGTTTGATTTAACATCTCTCCATTTAGAGCAACAGAAAAAGCAATAAAAAAACCAACCCTGGCTAGGAATCGATATTCTGGCCAACGAAACCAAAGATCCCCGTGTAACCTTAATACTTCCAAATAAGCTTCAGATGAAAATTTACAAATTCAGACCTACACTAGTCTTGCAGAAATCCTATACAATAAGGTCTCTCTATGCATAAATTCCAGTGAAGGTGTACATGTAACGGTTTTCTTACATTTTGATGATTTCTTGAAATATATGATTCAATAAATATTTATGTTTTCAAGAGTAAATAAGGATTTTTTCTGCATTTTGATTAAACAAAAATAATAATTTAAACATAAGACGTTACTAGTATTGGAAGTTGCATTTCTTTGCCAAGTATCTTAACTGTTCTCTAATTTCTTTGTAAAATGTCATTAAAGTATAACGTCGAAATAAAACATAAAAATTAACTATTTCTGTTAACATAAATTTATTTTAATTGATCGTTTTCATGCAGTTTTGATAGTATTTGTACATAAATGTACACATTTTCATAAACAAACAAAAATCATGCACATGCGCACATGCAGAAAAAATAGCAAAAATATAAGTCCGGACAATTTTAACCATTACTTTTAGGAAAAACAACATGCAAATACTTGTACACTTTTCTGTATTATTTTAAGTTGCTTTTTTTAACTTTTATAAAATTTATTTCGTCTGGCAGACTAATAGATTAAAACAAACGAAATAGAAAAGAAAGAATTATTGTAGATTAACACACCCTCGCGTGCCCGGTCGTATTTGGTCCGTGCATTTCCGTTTCTGTTCTGCCGATCATTCGTCCTCTGATTTTTATGGTCTCATAAATGCCATGGAAGTTCGCGTGGTATCTTGGAACGACTAAATGTCATAATTTCACAAATGAAGTCTTTTTTTTTTATTAATTCATGATTTGCTCTTGAATGTCAAGTTTACTGATGGACAGAAATTTACACAGTCTTAACAAGATGTGACAGTATACAAAATTCTTTCAAGGATAAGTTTACAGTTATTTCATATTTATCATAGAAATGTTACGTGACGATTCTGTAAAATGTTAAATTAAGCTGATGAAAATATTGAAAAAGTAATTTTCTAAATTGAATTTTATTGAATTAAGCCTGCGAAGTCATCTTGAAGAATTCATAGCAGACTACCTGTTTAAGCTGTTATCACACACGCTTGATAAATGAATGATTTTGTACATATTCTGAATTAGATAAAATATTTGACGTGGTATTTATCAATCTTGAAATTCGAAGATAAAGAGGCGCGAAAAGAAAACAGTCTCAGGGCTGTTTGTTTATCGATTGTCTGAGCGATAAAAAAAATTCCGAAAGTAAAAAAAAAGAGACTTTTATTTAAATCTGTTCAGCAAATAAAGCTATTTCAAATATGATTGTTGAATCTTTGTTTATCGATTGTCTGCTTCTGGGACTGAGTTTGTGCTGGACATCGCGTGCATCGATCGTCTGCTCGTTATCGTCTGATAGCACGTGACAAGGAATCGGTCGCACTGTGCCAGTCATTACATTGGGTACACCTCCTCATGTAGTAGATTGAAAAGAAAATCAAAGACAAACATGAATTAAAGTTTTTCTTTTTTTTAATTCAAAATTAACCCACTTCAGAGATTTTCCTTATTTTTGGAATTAAACATGAGAGGAATAAATTCATTTACAAAATGTGTTCATCAGTTTTAAAGGGCTATGTATGTATATGTAAGTCGTTTATGGAAAAAAAGATCTTCAAGGATTACAAAACCTAAAAACTAAATTATGTATGCATATACTACTTTTACACAAAGTAATCGTTTTCTACTTTCACAATCAAAATAATTAAAAGAATTTTGATTTCTTGTTTTTTTGTTTTTTTTTTTTTTGTTTGTTTGTTTTTTTTGTTTGTTTTTGTTTTTTTTTTTTGCATGTTAAAATAAGCTATCTTTTCACAAAGATTTAAAGAATACCTTAAACGAAGTACAAACTAGTATGCTATACATGTATATAAATTCTAAATAATTTTACATCATATTCGTTTTCTTTTAGAAATTTATGCAAAGATTCTTATGAACCTTAGAACATACATGTATTTTTAATAAAGAATTCAAAATGATCATGTTCCTTTTTTAAGTGAGTGAAGTCTGCCAGTTCTAGATTCAGAACTGGTCATCTAGGACACATGAGATGGAGGGAGGCGATGTGTCGACGTTTACTGCCAGGGATAGACCGCTATAAGTGCCCATGTTCACTTAGTTCTGTAAATTCGTGCAAAAATGTCAAATTCTGTCTGAAAAATAAAATTTGACAAATGGGGCCAAACAACGGAATAAACGCTGAACTTCTCTTTTTTTTTTTAAATGTTGTCGTTTTAATTACATGAATAATGAAGTCAAATTTGAGAAAATATTTCATGGCTTATATCTTACCATATATTGTACAAGTGTTCTCTGTAAACAAATTTGTCTGTAACAAATTATATTTGGGAATATTAGATGAGAGACACTAAATGTATATATGTGATATCGCCAATATTATATACATATATATGAATAATATTTTTTCCGGAAATTGGGGTGTATATATTTTCATATATTAATCAATAATACTAATTATAAAGTAGTGCTTGACTTTTCAGTATGCAGTGGATTGTTCTTTTTTCTTCATTAGATGGGAACTTTTTGATGGATTTTTCAAAAAAATTATCTAAAGTCAATGCGTCACCAAAATGACTAACGGAAGAGGGCGAAAGAAGATAATTTGGAGAGTCTTTCCATTGATTGCTGGGTATTTATCAAAAAATCTCTACACGACTCCAAACATCTCTTGTTTCATTGTCTCCCTTATCACGGAATATCAACCCTTCCCGACATCCGTAAAAAAGTCAGCCCAGATTTTCAAAGAGAGTAAAATTGATTTCACGGACAGAAGCGTAAAAATGTATTTTCACTGGGCAGGTGCGCGCTGGAGAGACTGCATCAATATTTGGAACTGGATGCGGCGAGAGACAATATCTCCGGCCTTGTCGGGGAGTTTGGTTGATTGAACAAATACAAACAGTTATTATTCCGACTTCATTTGATATCCATTAAACGGGACTTTGTTGTCTTTCAGTTTGATTGTATAGCCATGATGCGAATTTGACGTGTTGGGTTCGACTTTTAGACTATTCGGCGAATTGACATAATAAAAACGTTGACATTGTAAATCAGCACATATCGATTGGGTATCTGTTTCTCAGGTTTCGGGAATTAGTGGAGAGAATAGCGGTGTTTGTGAGCTGGTCCCAGACTTTGTCATCAGAGGATCGTATATCCCCACCGATTCTGGTCCGCCATTGTTTTAATTCTTTACACAAGATCATGAAATATCAAGATCAAGTTTTAGCAATTAATCTGAGTTACAATTGCATTTTGGTCATGTGGTTTTGCCCAGAAATATTAGTGTTAGTATTTCTTTTTCAATTTCCAGAACCACTAGACACTTATCGCTTCTCTGAATGTTAGGTATCAAAAATAAATCTGCCAAGCATTAACAAAAATCATGAATGATTGAATCAATTAATGTTTTACTTGGATGTGTTTAAAGGGCTCTTTCTTTTTATTAATATACATATTTCGGACATACATTTCAAGTTAACAATTTCTGATTTACCACACCTATCAAAGTTCACCATATTATTTAGAGTACAGAATCTATAGCCATTGATAAGCCAATAGGTTTTTAATATACATTTTTCGCCCAGCTGTATGATGTCTTCTTGCTGACACAAATCGCATTGTATCCCCTGCTCAAAAACTGCATAATTTATGGAGGGAAAACAAGTGATGACAATCTTTCCAAATCCATTCTAAAAATAAAAACATGTCTCTGCAATATGGGTTTTTAGATTTGTTTCTTGAAAATGCAATACAAACACATTATTTTTTGGCCACAGTTGAGAATTTCATTGGCTATTGGTGGCACATAACCAATTACTAAAACATTAAATATTTCTATTAATATATCAAACTCGTGACCTCTCACCCTTGTTCATTTCTTACGTGAAGAAAATGTACATCTTGACACGGAAGATGGCGCACTAAAGTACACAGCAGAATTTATCTTGGATGTCATGTTGATTTTTTGACCACAGGTTGGTTGAACTTGCTAAGTTTGAAAAGATTAACTTCAAATGTCGTGGTTAGGGAACCTGCAGAAAGTAAACATTCCGAGTTAAACGTCATTTTCACAAAATTGAAATCTTTTACATGCAAACTTAAAAAATTTGCATGTAATTTATAAATGTATGAACTTTTTTGTCAGCTGATTCACTACGAGAATAGAACTGCAGTTATTAAATGAAAAATGGTTTTTGTTTCTTAAAATTTAATTTTTTTTTTTATAGAAAAGAAATAAAAATGCATTATGCTTTTATTATCACTTACAATAAAAAAAAATTTTCTGGAATCTTCTTGCGAAATAAAAATATAAATGTACCTGGTAATAATAAAATTGTCGTAGGAAATAAAATTCTGTAAATAAATGAATATGATTCTGGAATTCTCACACGAAATAGATATTTGTAGATAATCATGGAAAGTGCATGCAAAATATAATCCTAAAGATCATTTTGATGGGGTTAATTTCTTGATAAGCAATCTTAGTCTTCGTTTCGTAGTTTGCTACTTCTTTGATTACATTTACGATGACCAAAATTATGATAATGGCCAATACGATATATTTAGTACGCCCAACCTCTGTTGTAAAGAATGGTTCATAGTATTTTAGAATCAAAATGTAGGCATTTTTGACTGTATTAATTGCCAACATCAGTTGCTTCCAACAGAAGAGTCCAGTCAATAAATACGGCCATTGTCCGGTGTTGCTTTTGATCCCCGCCACCAGGACAATTTGTGTTTATTGACTGTTTTAACATGAACTCGTGGTCACAGTTTTATAGCCTGGATATGTTATGCAAGGAGATTTAGAAAACAAAGCTTCGGACCTACCGACATCACCACTGGTCTTGTTTTTTCGTGCTGACATTCAAATTGTGTCAACACCGCTCTAAGTTGGAATGAAAATACAGGTGCTTAAACGAATCGGTGGCCATTGTTCGGGTGTTCATTCCACGATTTGATTTGATAACAGATTGGAGGACCGCAAACTCGGATCTCGAGTATATAAAATAATAAAAGAGATTTGCTATTGCAGTGAGGGAGTAATCCGTAGTTATTAAACTTTCAAGGGTAAATAATGACGGAAATTATTTTCACTGCACGTTTGATGGTCGCTTTGAGGAAGGCATTCCACATTTCTCTTGAAGTAGAGTGTTTTTCTAGATCTATATGAATATGTTTGATAACTCTCTAAACCTCTGAAATGAAATCGAATCAATATTTTCTTTCCTAGGCAGTGACATCCATTATTGTTGTCATATTTAATCTTTTAATATAAAAATTTCAACATTTATTTCTTCAAACACTCGTGAAAAATCTGGAATTTCGGGTTTTGATTGTTCCCAGTAATTACCTCCTATTGGATTCTGAAGAGCTTGTTAGATTTTATAGGCTTGATAATGCAGCTTACAACCATTGTTCGTGTTTCTTTTAATTTTTCCTGGTTCTTACAACGTCTCAAGGTCCAAAATATCTCTCCTCTCTATGGAAATTGTAATCATTTAACAAGGAATTTTTTCAATTTTTGTAAAAAGGTTTTTTAGTGCAGTTTCATTGAGGACATACGCAACATAGTTTTGAACTTCAATGTCTTATTCCAATTAAAAGTTCCAATTATTAAAGGACGTTTTAGCAATTTTCGAGAAATACTAGTACCGGCTAAAACTATATTTATGTTACTTTTTCTTTAAAAAGAAATACATTTTTATCTGGCCAAAACTCCTGGTAAGGTATGCTAACTGTTTCTGTGTATATTAGGACATATTATGATGCTAGGATTTAAAATTGAGAATTTCTTGCAATTCTTTCTTTATTTCATACATGTATTTCTTTTTTTTTCTTTGTGATACGGGTTTTTTTAACGTATATAAAGAAAGAGAAGATAAGTATAAATGGATATATATATCCGTTATTTCGCCATATTGCTAAGCCTTTAATAAATTCTGAAAACAAAGTGTTGTAAAAAAAAATATTGTACAAATATATTTACATGGAATTTTTGAATCTGGATTGTTTCGACCTATTTGTCATTTTTTTAGTACTCACTTCCAATGATTTATGGATTTTATTTATTATATAATAGCCTTCATTTTACACTTGAATCACCTTGTCACCATACACATATATGTATTAATGCATACCTAAACAATTTCTAAACCATATTCAAAACTTAGCAAAATTATTTCCGTGCGTTACAAATTCAGAAAATCTCTCACAGGCCTATGTAGCTAAAAATTAATTTTTTCGATCCAAGTGTGAAATAAAGTAGATCAAATCTTTACCCTGGCTTTTTTTTTTATCCTGTAACATCTCTATTAGTACATTATTTTGATCATCATTAAACTTATACAACTAATTTTATTTTAACTTTGTAATTAAAGGTAAAAAGAAAAGTTATTTCATCAGAAATTTTCCTTGATTACACCAGCTTGTTATAATGATAGTGACATAAGATCTGTATAATCAAATAGGTGCAAGTTTTTTGGACGATTACATTTACATAATGCTGTAAAGGACAAACTCTCTCGAGGGGATCCGAACGGTCAATATTTACACTTCGGATGAATTTGTCTACGAGATGTCTAATCTAAAACCGCAATCTTTCTACTTTTTTTAAATTTTAAATTCTTATACATATGTAGTTCATTGAAAGCTGATACACATTTCCTGTGGAGAAATACATTCTTTGATTTTGTGGTAATGTTTAGAATTATAAAAATACAGGAATGTGGTTTGTATTAATTTAAAATTTGTCCATTTACAGTACCGTTATTTTACAGTCAATTAAAACAATTATTTTTCTATTGTAAGAAAAAAGTAAATTATTATAATCAGCAAAATCATCTGAATTTTAAATTTAAAAAGTATAAAGTTGATGAGTAAAAGCCACAGAAATAAAGAATTCAATGAGAAACAATTTGATACATAATTCTCTGTGCGATATTGATCAACTCTCGCCACTAGGTGAACGAAGTCTTTGATTTAGCGTAATATTTCCCCCTCGTTGACTTTGTAAATTCTCGATACTATCTTCAGTATTTCAAAGGAGGCCAGCGAGAGACAATGAATATTTATGTAGTATGTATATTACGATCTTTTGAAGCTTCCTTTGTAAGGTAATGTTCCTGTCGATTGGAGCGTTTTGACAGGTATTTACCAATTCATCAGGGAGTAATTTAACGGGGCACCGTCTTGATTAAATCTTTATAGTTTGACTACGAGCAAGAATAAAACTCGATGTCGCACACCGAAAAATCAGCCCCCCAGGAGAAATTGGACGTCTCAATATTCACCAATTGTTCTTATCTCTCTGATTGTGTTTTTATAGCGAGTGATCATTTCCGATAACCTTTTAATTGCAAATCATCTTAATGAATTATTCAGCGAGTACTGAAACCTGCAATATAATATAAACAAGAGAAGATTCTTAAATGTGATAAAAGCAAATCATTCTCCTCTTTTTTATATCTAAATAAACAAAGAATAAATCAATATACACTCATAATTTTTTTTAAATTTTCTCTAAAGAATACAAGAAAATCATAAAACTGAGGCTTTTATAGTTAAAATCCTATGCTTGTAAATCGTAATACATACATATAATTCTGTCTCCCAGAAAAGCTTTAAAGATATCTTTATTTTATATTTTCAGGCAGTCAAAAATTATTCAAATACATGTATTGACTTAAATTAATTTTTATTTTTAAATCATATCATTATCGGTGTTTAAAACCAGTTGACCGTAAGAGCTACGATCGGCAGGTCAGGTGTTAAATGAACAATGATTTCACAAATTGATGATTCGCAGATTTACCCGAAATCTGTGGATATCTTATTAATGATTCCAGAGAAAACCACACAGAACACGAGTAAGTACACGTCACGTGGTGCAAGCCGCGATAATCGCGAGCCCGAGCCGGCACGGCATAAGCCACGCATGCTAACGAGGTGTTATGTCTACGCCTGCCTGTTCATCATTAAGATTATTAGTGAGCACATTTCTTTCATTCATGTCACTTAGGCTTAAGATAACAGTTTTCTGGTTTTCTTTTGACTGACCTCTGTTTTGAAGGGCAGCTCCCGTGGCTTGATAAAGGCGTGTTAGAGACGTTCATGCAGTCTTCCTGTATTTTGACAACTTTTCCTTTTAAAAAGTTCTAGTATCAAAGGTCGAGATTTTGTTTTATTGTTAATTACACAGGAAATACAAATTGGGTCATGATATATCGAGGAGTTATTATTTACCTTTATTCCGTAACTGAGATTCTTTGACCTGACAACATTTTTGTCACCCATTCGTGTTTCTTAATGTGAATATTTTTCGATTTTCCTAGCGACGTAACATTTTCGCTTAGAAAGTATTTTTAAAATCATTTCCTAAGTTTTTAGCACACGGGATTTTAAAATTAAATTATCATGAACCTCTTCAGAAAATAACCCAACAAGAACATAAATGAAGGCGATCATTTTCAATACTTTTAGTCTGTCGAGGACTATTGGTACCTTCTTTGACTAAAGAGCCTTCTCGCCTCAGAACGATCTAAATACAGGTATGGAATGTCCGCGCAATAGGGAGCACTTGGAAACCGTCAGTCAGACAGGCATTGTAGGACAGAGTTTACAAACATCTTGACGTGTTGTGGAGAGCAGTTTGAATGATGTATTTGTTTTACCGTGTAGTCCCTCCTTCTTTTACACAAACGTGGCCAGAGTGTCTGAAGCGGCAACAACAATTTCTGTGCCGTCGACGTCACAGAGAGAGTACGTGTTGGTCACTGGGGGTCCAGTGCGCACGCGCCGGGTGTGGGAGGGTGTTTGCAGTCAGCCCTGACTGTTCTCTGCGTTAGATTATTGTTTGATTAGTGGTAATGATTAGGCTAATGTAAACTAATACGGTTAGAAATGTTATGTCATTCCTCGAGTACACAACCCTACTGAGATGAGAAAGTGAATTTCTACAGAATATAGACTTATCGGAAGTCTAAAGTCCAACTGGTGACTCCCACTGAACCTGACGGGAATTAGAACATCGTCAATCTTACATGATCTTTGTCGTAAAATCCCTCCAAGAGTGTTTAACTTTGTCTTTGTAGTCTGGTTTGCCGATTTTTTCTAAACATGCTATAAGAAACAATAGTAAATTTGGCGTATTAGATGCTGAATTGATTATATTATTTAATTAACGCCCTGTCCTTGCTGTGTCAAGGTCAGCTTACTTACATTGGTTTTCTGTTTGTTGCATATTATAGTTGGCTGAGTATCGTCAATTTTATTACAAGAGCCGAGTGTACTTATGAAAGAAGTGCACATTGATTACACTTTAGAGAAGTGCTTAATGATTCTATTGCACTTAACAACACATCATTAAAAATATTCTGCCGAGATTGACCATCACTGTTCGATTCTGAGGTCGTTTTCATTGGGGAAGCAAGTGACAAGTGGAAGGATTTTGATTCGCTCTTTTTCATTTAAAACACCGAATTTACTTTAAAAGACTTATTATATTTTTTTGTTTGCCATATAGAAATTATTTTTATTCCCGTCAATGGATAAAGATGCATGTATAGCAAAATATCTTGAAAATTAAGTTGGATTTATAGTATAAAGAGTCCTAGAAATCTTATGCATTCTTAGTTTTGACGATTTTGTGGTTAAAAACAAGTCAATATTGTGATTATATAACTAGGAGAATGAAATAAAAAAGAGTATTATTTAGATGTCGCACTCTTTGGAACTTTTTTGGTGATTATTGCACAATAATGGCGGACCAGTAATCAGTTGTTACGTTGTTATGATTGTTCTTCTGAGGATAAAGGTATACAAACAAACATGGAGGTCGTCCATGTTGACATCAGTCACCGGAACCAGTACAGTTCAACCTCCATATAATCACCACAAACCTAATCCGATGCTCATAAAGTATGATAATGACTTAATTAGGCAGCACAGTCTGCGTGCAATGCTGATAAATGCCAAGATGCGGGCGCGTGAACCTTGTTTCGCCTTAGGCTCGATAGGCGATACCCGCCATTTGATCGCAAGCGAACAAGAGTTAGTGACAGTAATTGTATGATTTACCATAAATTTTGAATTGCAATCCGAGAAAATTCGGAAGATGAACGATATCGGGTATGTGATACATTGCCAAAAATTTAAACATGGATTAAGATACACAAGTATATTGTCGCTACTTCCGTGCACGATAGAACACATTTAAATGAGAAGCTCCAAATTCTCTTATCTTGAGCTGAAAACATTCTTCAAATTTGCGGTGGTGTTCGATTACCCTCCATATTTCTGTAATAGATTTGTTAACAGCATTGAATTTCTAGCCGCGGGGAGAAAAAAAAAATAAAATATGCTTTGAATGATGTCGTTGTCTGATTTAATTATTTTATGCTTTGCTTGATAATCTAGTAAAACAGTACATAGTATCGAGGTAGTGACAAATAAAGATAAAATAATGTGCACTTTAATGTTCCGTACAAGTTTGTGCCTTTTTATAGAGTAAAGGTGTTATTTAGTATGTGTAACACCAAGAGACTGCTGACGTATCATCCGTGGTCTGGCGGCATAGTGTTAAAGAAAATATCAAGTCATTGGACGTTGCTGTTAAACAAATTATATCAAACAGAAATACAGGACAGTCCATGAGACCAAAATATTCCAAATCTAAGGCTGTGTCAGATTATATTCTCACTATTATATTCCCAGCTTGAATGGTAACCTTTTAAAGACTAAGTGGTATGAACGCCAGCGTTCTGTCATACACGGGGATGGGGTATCTTTGTGTGTAGACCGTGAGTAAAGGAGAACAATGATTTATAAATTAAATATGAAAAACGAACAATTATCACATGAAAAAGTCCATTTAAAGATAAATTCAAATTCTGAGTAGAGAAAACCAAGACCTCCAAGAACATTAGAGGTTGGATCAGGTGCCATGAGGGAGTAAGAATCCCCTGTACACCGTCCACAACCAACGTGTGCTCCTTGTCATGATAGGGGAAAATCCGAAGACAATTCATTGTGTAAATCATGGCCAACCAACTGTAAAATTATAGCACTCCAGAGTGCACGATTCTTCACGTCTATAACGGTTTTGTAGCATTACTATCATTATGAAATGTCTGTTCAAACTTTTCGGAACATGACAATATAAATTAGTTATGATCATGTACTGTACTTTTAATGATATATAATTCTGTTAAGTTATACCCGGGTAATAATAAAGTATAGTTCACATGATTATGTACTACACTTTAAACTTCATGTGTTTAGTTTTAGTTATGATCCTGTACAATGTACTATAATTTTATGATTACGTTTTAGTTTATATAATTTAGATTATATACTATTGTTGTACATGTATGCTCATCGTGAACTATAGTTTATATAAATGTAGTCTTACTAAAACATGTCATCATTAGTATAATTTATTACTGTTTTTAGGCCAGTGCAAATATTTCCCCATCCGAAAAATTCCATTTTTAGTGAGCCTGAAGCACGAGTGCATAATTTTCCTTGAGGTAAGCTATCTAATCCTTTTGACAAAAAAGCAATAATTATTGAATTACGATTCCATGATTAAATGAAACAATTTTTAAAAAGTCTATTTCTTTCAAGAAGCAAATGCCACCCTCTTACTTCAGTTATGGAAATCGACGCTTAAATATAATACACACGAGGCTTAGACATAACTGTGTGCTTAATAGCGATCTTTTTCGATGTAATGTAATCTTGAGTCCACTATGTTCTTGTGGAAGAGTGGAGGATTCTCATCATTATTTTTTCTCGTGCAAAAAATATACAGAAGCCAGGAAAGAATTTTTTGACAAATTTTTGCGAATGGGTAAATTACATACTGTCGATACTTACACCTTACTCTGGGGAGACAAATCGTTAAATGATTTTGAAAATGAATACCTATTCTCTATTGTACAAACTTTCATAAAAAAGTCAGGACGATTTGGTTGATATCATAATTATTTTGAATTGTAAATCTTATGCAACATTTCTATTACATATGAAATGTATTCTATTGAATGTGTTTTACTCTGATTATTATACATTATTATTATAATATTATTATTATTGTTATTTGATATTAAGCTGAAACCCATGTATGTAAATATGTTTTGGTATAATTTATATGTAGGGAACGGGCGTAATAAGTTTTTAGAACTTTTGCCCAATCCCATTTGTATAGTATAATCAATAAAATATGTTCAAATCAAATGAAACAAATTCGGTAACCAAATCTTGTTATAGTTCTTGATTGCAGTTTTAATCGAATGTAGTGAGAGTAGCGAGAATATGTAAACACGTTTTGAAATTTATTTATTTATGTCTAGTAATATAGAATTAAAAAATGTTTTTTTTTTTAAAAAGTTTTTAAAAATGTTCTTTTCTGAAAGTCGGATAGATTTAAATTGACTTATCATAACTAATTGTATCGATTCAAATGTTTTCAATCAATTTTTGGTCCAATGAAGGGGGAAAAGATATGTTTTGGTAAGTACACATAGAAGGTCAGGTACAGGTAAAATAATTATTTTCATAACTTAATTGTATCAATCGTGGAAGCTCATCTTTTTTTTCCAATGTAGAAAAAGTATTGACTTGGAGATTTGCAGTTGAATTTGAATATTTTCTATGTCTTTGGCGTTCGAACAGAGATGATGAAATTATTCAGTCATATGAAGGATATACCTGTATATTAATATGTTCAGTGAAAGCAAACTCTGCTGCTGATGCAATATTCACCACAAACTTTTTGCACTAGATAAACACTTATAAAAACCCTCTGTTTCAATAAGAACTTTTCGTGCCATTCAGAAAAACCCAGCTTTCTTTCGCTGACATCGCATTAAACTTGTATTTTTGGAGGGTGTAGTTGTTCAGTGTCTCACGAGTTTATGGTTAGAATGTCGGGAATAAACTTTCGAACGCCTCCTCGCAGTATGTCTTTAAGGCGAGCAGTGTGGTGAACAATATTTTCGAAACTATTTACAGAATCTGCAATTCAAAACAGATATGAATTGAAGTTTTTTGATACTGGAACAATATTAATGGGCAATAAAGGCTTGATAGGATTTTTAACATGCCAAAAATTTATATGGATTTTTTTCGCATAGAGAAAAAAACAGGTTAATAAAAGTTAATGGAGAGAAATGTCTGATAGATCGATTCTTCTCAACATGATGCTTAACTAGCAAACTAAAGACAGCGATAGATTTTGTAAAATACAGATAATAAAATCCAACTTTGATAGAGAGAATATTTCCGGTTTCTTTGACATTGTAATGGTGGCAATTTATTCATAGCGTTCCACCATAGTGACAACAATAAAACCACGTGACTTTTTGCGAGATTTCGTCGTTCCGGTGCGTGAAGATGTAAAGGATGTGGACGATCATCCATCACCGTGGCAATGAGCGCGACAGACGACAGTTCTGCTCTTGTCTCTTCGCTCTTTGGAATCATGGATTAATTGACTTCTGTTTTATTGCTCCAACTTGTCTATCTAATGGCGATGAATAACGTTTTTTTCACAATTTTTATCTCTTTGAAGCATCTGATTTTTTGCGTTTTATAAAATTCCCGATTATAAATCGTAAATATAAAAGAAATGAACGGAGCTTGTCGGGGATGATGTCGTTTTGTGAGAAGGATGAGATATAGAGATAAGGATTTCTATGCAAAGCGAGTTTTACATCAACACATCGAATATAATACACCTCAGATTCATCGACAGATTG